GCAGCTTTCCTAACTCGTGATATAATCTTCTCAACGTTAAGGGGAGGAGGAGGAAGCAGTCATGTTCTTCCACGAGGAAAAATCTTCCGTAGTTTGTATAACTATTGAACAGTGAAAAACGCTGTTCCATGCGATTTACGTTTTGCATCAAAAGCGACATTTCTTTGCAACTGTTTCTTATAGGTTGAGGAAAAAGCAGATCCGTTATTAATACGGGAACTCTAAAAAGTGATTCGAAGATGCCGGGTGTTGAATACAACAGCCTGATCGTAAGTTTGCCTCTTGACCATCTTACATATACCATGAAGAAGAGTTAATCTTGCAACTCTCTAAAAACTCTTTATCTATGAAAACTAAATACAAATCTGTCACTTACGCATCATCATTTCGCTTTGAGGGTTTTGCTCACTGTGTTCTTCGAGCCGACGCATTTCCATCTCCTGCAGCTTCTCAATCTGTTTCAGTTAACACAGTCAACGATTAGAACTACACCTCACAAATGAAGAACTATACTTTGACGGTATATTCTCGAAGTACTTGAATCATGTAAGGCATCGCGAAATCCATGATATTGTGCTTCCACGCCAGTTCCAAAATGACATCCGGATGAAGTAAATCATAGCACTGATACAGGGAAGCGGCAAAACACTCGCGTAGGCCCATTTCCAAAAAGTAAGACAGAAGTTCTTCGGCGATCTCTGGTTGACGGGATTCGGCCGCATACTCCATGGCATCCTTAAAACACACAGTATAAGAGAGCAGCTACCAAAAACTAATTCGTCAAGCACGCACCTTAAACAGCTTGTCCTTCTTACATAATTCGACCGACTGACTCCACCGATTATTGCCTTTGTAAAGGTATGCACTGATACGTCTGAACTCGACCAGTTCGTGCTTCTCCAACTTCTGGGCCAAAGCAATATTGTCAAAATTGTCGAAGGCATCAATCGAATGCCGCAAACCCTGAAAAAATTAAAAAATGACAAATAAGCTTTGATAGTAGGAAAATATCTAATTTATTTACCAATCAATATTTGCATTCTTTTTCCAATTTAGGTTAAAAAGAAAAAATATTTTCATCTTCTGGGATACCGGTCTGTTTTATATTTATTACGGTGAATGCTATTTTCAACAAGTTTGTGATAGTACACCGATCTAAGTTCCGATGTAGTCAGGCAGGAGATAATGAAGGCAAATCTGTAGCTAACTGAATGCTGTGTTGGTTTGTCATCACCTTGAGCTGTCTGCATACGCAGAACGTCTCTGGTTTATGATGTACGCTGTAATCGCATCTTTACAATACTTTTTCTATAAGGCCATGGTTACTGAATCGCAAACGAAAATATTCCTCAACCAAAACAAATCTGCCTCTACCTTGTTCCACCATGTTGAATGCTGACCTTCTGATCGACATCTGCCGTATTTCGGCTCCAATGCGAAAACCTCATGGGTTGGAATAATTTATTCATGTTCAATTAACACAGTCATCCTTCATTTGTTAACCTCAGCGTCTATCTACCGAAATGGAAAAGCATGAAATGTATCTTCAGACTTCTGATATACACCGAGAAATAATCATTTCTTCTACGTTGAAACAATGAAATGCTAATGACCGTAATCGCGATTCGAAATGCAGAACTTTTGGCAGTTCGGTTATCCACAAATTGAGCTACAAAGGAAAATCGTCATTCAGTGAGGTTGCTTAAGACTGCTCTATCAGATCTTTAATACCTTTGGGTTCCGATCGGGTTGCGACTCATTTACGAATGCAACCCAGTTCGAATAAACAGTTTCATCGACATGAAGAACTTCTGGTCGAATAATCAAAGCCTTGCTAAATTTAAGTTTGTGGTTCATCTTATGAGTGCATTACAAAGCAAAAATACAGTCTATCGGTCTACACTTAGTTATTTTATACCTTCTGCTCTCTGACGCAATAGAGAACTTTTATGCAAGTGACGACTTCATGATAGCCACATGGAAGTTTCGAAAGGAATCCCACTGATTCATAACATACGCAAAAGAAATACGCTCTACTTATATAAAAGATAAATAAATGCAAAACTAAAAGATCCCAAATCACTAACAAAACTACAGACAAACATGATACAACCATTCTATAGCTAACCAAGCCAGTGGTTAAATCGTCGCATTAATCTAAGACTGACTGTCGTTTTCTGTAAATCAAATTCCCTATTTATTTCGCACCTAGTAAATATTTTAAGGCTGTTACACTTTCTACAACCCGTTGTTCTTGCTTCAGCAAAAGAACTAGACCGAAAGTATCTACGGACTCATCGATATGTTAGTCGTGGCTAATTCTGAAAATACGGTGAAGCCAGCATGATGACATTCACCTTATCAATAATCAATGTTTGTCTACATACGAAACAGGAACTTCTTGCTTTTGCATAAAGCACGTCTTCAAACTGTTCTACGGTTTACCCCTTGTGCTGACTTTTAGTAAGCTATCAGAAGGATCAAGGCGAAGCAACCTTAACGTGCACGCATCAAACAGCATGTCCATATGTATCGCACGTTATCAGTGACCACACCAGAACACTGTGCTGTCCATAACGTTAGCAAATCAGCGACTTGCTACTCGTTTCTCGGCTAAGCGCACTGAGGTAAAGTGAGGTAAATTTCTTGCACAAGGGTATTTGCAGTTAATCAGAAAAAATTTACGCCATTCATGAAGTGCGAACCCAGCAGCACTAAAGAACAAAACAAACCACTGTGACACTGCCACCCCACCCACCAAACCATAATCATATAACAGATTTTAATTCAGACACCATAGACTTACGCGTCATCTACGGGGTAGGGCGTCAATAAAACACAGGGCCAGAAGTCAGAAAAATACCTGATAATCCTCTTCTTCGATAAGAAGCTGATTAAGCGCTTCATTTACTGCTGAGTTGTTCAAATTCTGGACCGCTCTTAAATATGGCTTGACCAACGGAAGCTGGTTAATCTTCGAGAAAAAGTTGACCGCCCGCGTGTGGTCGAGTCTCGGCGCCAGCACCAACAGCAACTCGTTGATAAGTAGGGGCTTGTAGTCGACGTAGAATTGGATGGCGCGATAGTAGAGCTCGATATTTGCCACCTTGGTGATCATCTCCTTGAAGTGCTGTTCGCGCCACGCCTCAATCGGATGACTTATCACCGTCACCACGGCGTTGTCGTACTCTTCGTATTTGTCGTAAAGGAAGACCAATTCAGCCCAAAGGTGGGCTTGTTCAGCAGCTCGCAAAACTTTCGGAATGTTGACGCGCGACCAGAAGAGATCCAGATGTTCACGCATTTTTTCTGGTTTATACTTCGAATAGAGAATCGCCAATTCCGTGAACATACCCATGTGTGCCCTCTCGAGACCTTTAAATTTAATATTTTTTAAGCGTCAAAACACTAGGGAAAATGTTCATAATCTTTTACCTAATGCTGCCTCCAGGAGAAAAATCAGCTCCTCAAAATAACCTCGATCCTGATAGAAGTTGATCAGTTCCTCCAGCTCGTCCGCATGCACTACTATGTTAAGGCCACATATCTGAGCAAGGCGAAATTCCTGAGCTTCCACGCAAGCAAAGCAGACCTCAAAAAATAGTGTCCAGATTAATTACAGCCCTTGGTTTCGAACACTGCTCCTCTGATCTTAAATCACTCGCACCTTTTTCCAAGTCTTGGTCGAGTTCGCTTTCCTGGCCGCATCGACAGCTCCTTGAAATTCGCCCAATCTAACGAGGGTTATTGCTAACTTTCCGAAGTTGCTGACGTTGTTAAACAAGATCTTCGCCGCCTCGAACATGCCGTCTTCAAAGCAACGCTCTCCCACCTGTTAGTAACATACACGAATTAATTATACATGAAATGTACCCTGGATTAGCTACCTGCAAAATTTGCGCATGATTTGGACCAGAAATGTATTCTTCTAAGTCAGACAACCGATTAGTCTTCGCAAACGCAAATACGAGCTCTGTTTCGATGTACGATTCTCTAGCCTTTTTCCGTGCCATTTGCAGGTACCGCACCAAATCCTCCCAGTGATCTAAAGAGAACGAAGGAGAGTTAATGTACAGCGACGAAGAATAATATTTGGAAGACCAAATCTTAGGGTCTCGAATCGACAACAACCCGAACAACTGACCCCCAAATCGATTTGTTTTCTGTAACACTTCTATCTTAAAGTTGCATTTCAAACGTTCTTTCTTAGTGTGCCAGACATGCACCTGAAATTACACTATGCAACTGTGATGTCCAAAGGTTGCATAGCCCGACTTAAGAATGGCAACGTTGATGGAAATAAGTACCGGTTTCGCTGCACTTCTGTACAACCTCCATGTACGAAGACGGGTCGTCGGCTTTTATGAACGAATCCACTGCGTCCTTGACCATGTTCTGTTGCAGCTGTGCCTTAGCCAGCTGAGCCCATACGCCAGATTCGTTGCATCGCTCAGCAAATTCGTAAGCGCGGTCCAAGTTGTTGATATTTTCAATTAGAACCTGAAAGTCAGAATATTATGAATACTCTTTAAGAATCTTTGAATCAAGAACCAATTTACCTGTATAGCAGAAGTATTGACTTCAAACTTCTTGAAAATGGCGAATGCTTCTTCATACAATTCAGATGATATGGCAATGTTCGCGATGTCCGGGGCATCGTAGTTATCCAGTCGCTGAATGTATTCCATCACTCGGGTACGATCCGCCTTGATGGCTGTCAGAATGAGAAGATTCTGCAAATTCCGGTGTTCGCTGAACACAGAGTTATCAAGGACTATCTTTTCCAATAGTTCGATCAGCTCATTTGGCAAATCAGCAGCCATAAAAGCCTTAACCGTTGTCGATATGTCTTCCGGGTCTTGCGTTTCCGAGAACGCCGTCTGCACAACTTGGTCAATTAACTGTCGCCGATAGGGGTTCGTCTCCTGCAACACTTCCGCCCACATGTCGGCGTCCTTCCGACGAACCATGTACCGGGCCAAATTTTTGAATAGCGAATTTTCGTTGCAAACCTAAAGCGGAAAAAATGTGGCAATGATCCACGAAGCCATATAGATAACGGGATATTATACCGCGATGAGCTCCGTATCGCACTGTCCCCGCTCATAAGCGATATAAGCTAGATGCGGGTCACGCTTTTCACAGTACTTGCCAACTACTTTCGAATCATAGTAAGGGTTGTCGCGTAAGAAACGTTCCGCATTATTGTTCGAATCGATGTAGATCTTCGCCAGTGCATTATGAGTTGGCGGGTCAATGGCTCCATCATGGACACGCGACTCCAACCATGGAAGCAAAAGTTTCAGTCTAAACATTAGTCAGGTAAATTAAAATGAAAACCAATAATTCGTCAGAATACCGATTTCGCTTTTCTACTTCTTCGACGAGTTCGTCTATGCTAAACTGACCGCGAGTATGTAAAATTAATTGTTTGATAGTGTCTTCGTTACAATCGACGTCCAACAGAGCTCCCACGACAACGGGTAATCGTCCAGGATTGACCTCCAAAGAAAAAGTCAAGAATTAACAGCAAAAAGATCCAATGAAATTGCCAGAAGAAACCAAAGCGACACATACTATACTTACGCAAATAAACGGGGAAAGACTACCACAATGCAACACTATTGCGTGGCCTCTCAAAAATCGCTGATCTGACTCCAAAAGAATTGTATACTTTTATGAGGCCCTCTATACTAGGAAAATCAACATATTAACATGCGACCTCACCTTCTGAACGAAAACTTCTATGTATTTCTGAAGGTTGTTCCGGTACAGGTAGAGCACCAAATCATGTACAAAATCAAAACGGTC